GCTGACCGAGAAAGCACCTGCAGAGGCCAGTGGTTCAGGAACAGTCACAGAGCAGGTCCCCCAGCCCCACAGAGACCACAGGGCGGGCAGCCACACTAACCCCCAGGTAGGGGCGCTACGGCTGCGCCTGTGCTGCGAGCCTTGGGGTGCCTCTGGTCAGGACCCTCAGCCTTTGGACTGTGAACTCAGCCCTTCTCAGGGGAAGGGGGTGCCCTGGTCTGGCAGTGATGAGCCACTTGCCCTCACTGAGAACAAAGTTCAGTGACGAGAATCTTTGTTATGGACTCGAGTTCTGAGCCAGACGAAGCACCCTCCTCCTCCAGTTCAAAGCAGAACAAAACAAAACGCCGCATTGGTGTTGGTGACGGCAGTTGGAGGCGGGGGAGTCCCAAGTCCTTGTGCTGTGAGGCTCCTAGAAATGTGGGGTAAGAGGCTGGTGAAGGCAGAATATAGGAAATATGTAGAAATTTAAAACATGTCCATTCACCCAACAAAGACCCATGAAGCACAGGCTCCATGCGTGTACTTCATGTCGCTTTCTTGGTGAGAATGACAGTGTTAGCTCACAGGGCATTGCTGGGGAATGTGGGAGGGCGGTGACAGTGCTCAAAGGGCCTCTTCTAACGCGGGGCCCAGAGATGGCTCCCCAAGAGAGTGACCTTTCAGTAATGTGAAGGTTTGGAAGCAGGAGACAGGACAGAATATTTCACGCAGTGAGGCACGTTCATTAGGGCAGAACTGGGGTGCCAGAGCCACATTTACATTTCAAATCACTGTCCTGGCTGGTGAGGACCACGGGGCATGGGAAGCTGAGGAGGCAGTGAGGAGACTGGGTGGGAGGCTGTTAAATAGTTAAGCCAAGAGCCAATCAAACCTGTCTCCCAGACTAACAGGTAGAACGTTTTCTGGACATCCGAGCTTCCCCAGAGTTTCCAGAGTCCTAGCTCAAGCCCCCGCAGCTCTGTGGGGCCGAGCTCGGGGGACCGTGCTGAGTGATTAGCGGGGTATGTAGCAGGCCAGCACTCGCACGTTGGAAGCCGTTCAGAATACGTAAAACTCAAACAGCAAAAGCCACCAGGGAAGTGACCTGAGCCATCTATCCACAGTCTAGAAGAAATTAGTTAACAAAACCAAATAAAAACGGAATTTTCTGAAAAACGAAAAGCACAGAAAAAGTTAAGCCAAGAGGTGGAGGTGGCTTTGGGATTGAAGAGAAGTGGATGGAATCCGGGTTAGCAGTTAAGTGGGTTGAGGAAGTTGAGAGAAGAGGAAGAGAATCTAAAAATTTAAGCGGTTTGAGCTCTTTCGCTGCTAAGCTCTATCCTCTGCAGCAGAGGAAGCATTGGGAATGGAGCAGGTGATTAATTACTCTTCACCTCCCATTAAGTCAAGTGAAAAATGGGTTCCATAATATTAACATGTGCGTGCGTACACATGGTGGTTAGTGGTTTTGTCCTGATAGGGAGAGGTGTAAAGGTTAAGTGGCTGAGCTCATTAGTCATCCAGTCCCAGGGAGAGTAGGGGGTGAGTTGCACATACTAATGAATAAAAGCATTAGCACGCACACAGTCCTCACTACATCCAAATGAAAGGGAAGCATTATAGATTTTTTTTTTTTTTTTTTTTTTTTAACAGATGAGTTTAGGGATGCTAGGTAGATGTCTGGGTTGCACAGCTCAGGATTCAAGCCAAGGACTATTATGAGTAAGTTTTCCTCGTAGGCTTCTCGGTGAGAATGCCATAGCTGTTACAGGTCTGTCTCCTTTGTGGGCTGCAGAAGTGATTTCTAGGGCTACTTGACCCTTCCTTGCTTTGAGGACACAGATAAAGAGACAAACCACTGTCCTCGTGGGACTCTCAATCTAGAGAGCTTGTCCAGGGTGTTTGAGGACGAAGTATGGAATGCAGATGCGTGTGCGAGGCTGGAAGGTCCAGCAAGTGGCTGTGAGCACACTGGGTGACATGCTCACTGACGTATAGACAACTCCATGAGCTCACAGAGGAAAGGTGGTTCCAGCAAAGGTGGCTCTTTCTGCTTGTCTGGGATGCACAGTAATTCTCCACGTGGACCTGCTCTGGGCGGGGAGACAGGAGAATGCGGAGAGCTGAGCCCAGCTGGGCTTGTAGCGGGTGAAGGATGAGGCTGGTGCAGGAGGCAGTGCCATGAGAGCACAGGGCAGAGAAACAATTTCTGGAGGAGCCAGGGAGTTGGGCTTAAATGCCTGTGCCATCCCTTGTTAGCGTTTGACTTCGGATGAGTGACTTCACCACTAGGCCTTCATCTTTCTCGTCGATAAAATGGAGATAATCATACCTCCCTCAGGAGGCTTACAGGAACCAACCTGGCTCAGGTGAATCGTTTTTCATTGTCGATAGTAGCTTTCTGCGATCCTCTGTGAACTGGAGGGCAGGATCAGGCGGTGAGCTTAGGACCCGCGGTGCCTGAAAGCCCCCTTCTCAGGGCTGAGAGCTGCCTTGGGAAGGCTCAGGGCGGTGGGGTGGGCAGTGTGGCTGTCAGTGAGGCTGTCCTTTCTGCACATACTGTCTGGGAGCGGTCCGGGCTGTTCAGTCTCCAAAGCCCTCACGTCCTGCATCAGCGCTCAGGATACGTGCTGACTCCTCTGAGGGGTCAGTGGGGCCCTAGAATTCGGTGCTCTGGCTGCACCGGTGAGAGGTATTGCTGTGGCCTGGCGTTTGCGGTGCCTGAGAGCATGCCCAACTCTGCTTCCAGTCCAGAGTGACAAAACTGCTTCCTCCCTAGATCCGGCCCCACATCGCGACTCTTCGCAAGTACACGTATGGCAAGCACATCCTGGCCAAGCTGGAGAAGTACTACATGAAGAATGGCGTCGACTTAGGGCCCATCTGTGGCCCCCCTAATGGTATCATCTGAAGCAGTGTCAGCCCTGTCCCTCATTCCCGCGGACCTCACTGGCCCACTGGCGAATCTAGCCAGCAACCAGAGATGTTCTAACGTAGAATCTGGAATGGTAAATGGTTGCGCCAGGCTTACCCTCCAAAAAAGGAATCAAATCCTCAAGTGGAAACGCCTTTGTAAATTTGTTTAATTTTATTACACATGACGTACTAATTATTTTTTTTAATTGACTAATTGCCCTGTTGTTTTACTGGTGTATAGGATACTTGTACATAGGTAACCAATGTACATGGGAGGCCACATATTTTGTTCAATGTTGTATCTATATTCCACATGTGGAAACTTTCAGGGTGGTTGGTTTAACAAAAAAAGTTAAAAAAAACACACAGAAAAAAGGTTTTTAACTCATTTGCCTTGCTGGCAAGTTTTGCAAATAGCTCTTCCCCACCTCCTCATTTTAGTAAAAAACAAAAACAAACAAAAAAACCTGGGAAGTTTGAATTTTAGTTAAATGAGCCCAACCTGGCATTTAACACTGTTTATAAAATATACATATATATATATATATATAAAAAAAAAATGAAAATGGTTTCAGAGTTGCTAAAGCTTCATTTTATGACATTAAGTTTATGAAACGTCCAAAATTGCCTTTTTTGGAGACTATTATGCTGAAGAAGATGGTGTAGTCTGTTTTGTGATGAGGAGACATGAACTCCCAGAATGTCTTTCAAGGCCGGGCAGGTGTAATTGTTTACTGCCTGTTGGATTTTTCTTTTAACATTGAAAGGCAAAATCTTGATTATTTAGCATGAGAAAAAAAAAATCCAACTCTGCTTTTGGTCTTGCTTCTATAAATATATAGTGTATACTTGGTGTAGACTTTGCATATATACAAATTTGTAGTATTTTCTTGTTTTGATGTCTAATCTGTATCTATAATGTACCCTAGTAGTCGAACATACTTTTGATTGTACAATTGTACATTTGTATACCTGTAATGTAAATGTGGAGAAGTTTGAATCAACATAAACACGTTTTTTGGTATGAAAAGAGAATTAGCCAGCCCTGTGCATTCAGTGTATATTCACACCTTTTATGGTCGTAGCATATAGTGTTGTATATTGTAAATTGTAATTTCAACCAGAAGTAAATTTTTTCTTTTGAAGGAATAAATGTTCTTTATACAGCCTAGTTACATGTTTAAAAAGGAAAAAAAGTAGCTTGGTTTTATTTGTCACCTAGTCAGACTGTAGCGGGATCCTTTCTAAATGTTACTTAAGATGATTCAGTTCACAGTAGTGTTTTTTTTTTAATCCTAAAAAGTAATGTTTTGCTTATTTTGTGACAGTCAAAAGGACGTGCAAAGGTCGGCCCTGCCCCAGCTTTCCTTACAGTCAGAGCCCTCTCACCTTGTAAAGTGTGAACTGCCCTTCCTTTTTGTACAGAAGATGAACTGTATTTTGCATTTTGTCTACTTGTAAGTGAATGTAACATACTGTCAAATTTCCTTGTTTGAATATAGAATTGTAACACTAAACGGTGTACATTTCCAGAGCCTTGTGTATATTTCCAATGAACTTTTTTGCAAGCACACTTGTAACCATATGTGTATAATTAACAAACCTGTGTATGCTTATGCCTGGGCAACTATTTTTTGTAACTCTTGTGTAGATTGTCTCTAAACAATGTGTGATCTTTATTTTGAAAAATACAGAACTTTGGAATCTGAGTCTGTGCTCTAACTTCTTTCTCTAATATAGGGCCCCAGGACAGCCCTGTGGTTTGTGCCTCCTTCTTCCTGCTTGTTTTTTGAGGGAACAGGAGTGGGAGGGGAAGGACTTGAAATAGGGACAGGATGTCAAACTGGTTCTTGAGTCCAGTTTGACCCAAAGATGTTGGGTTTACCCTGCTGATTGCTTTCAGAATCAAGACACTCGACATTATTCCAGATTTCCATCTTCTACTGAGCTCTCAGAATATTCTCCTCCCTGGGCCGGGGTCCGCACCAACCACCGGGAGCACCGTCAGAAAGCCTGTGCCCTGCCGCTTGCCCCGTTCCCTCTGGCGATCACAGCTTCCTCCTGGCCTCGGCAGCCCCTGTGAGCCCAGGGTCCAGATTACGATGCAGTCAGATGCAAATGTCACAACCGAGTGAAGTGTTGGGGACCTGCTTCGCTGAGGCAGGGCTGTAGGTGAGGCTTCTGGATGGCTGCCCAGGCCCCCTATCTCCGAGCCCCTTCCCCTCCAGGCTGCCCACCGTGCCCACATGCTGAGGCTGGTGCAGGCTGGCCTAGTATCCCAGCTTGCTCAGCTTATCCTCCAATTGGGGATCTTTTCCAGCTCTTAGTACAGGAGGCTCTGGGTCACTAAGGTGACTGTCACCTGTGCCTAAGGGTGCCCACCTTCCCTCGACTGCCACGTGGCTTTGGCAAAAACTGCCACTAAAATATCATTCTGTGTTGGCCATTACAGGATCAGGGAGGCCAGTGGGGAGCCATGTGGCCTCATGTCTGGAAGTGGAGCCTCAGGGTGGAAGCTGAAGATCACTGTGTGGTCCCCTCCCAGAGTAAGGGAGGGTCTCTAACAGGAATAGATGGAAGCTGAGGTCTTTCCCCCAGCCTTCCGCTGAGGTGGTAGTGGGCCCACCAGAGAGCATGCTGGGGCATTGCTGACGGTAGCTCTGGAATCAGACTGGGTTCCAGTAGGCGTCCAACCCCCTCTCACCTGCCCTTGGGTGCATGCTCCTCTTTAACCAAATTCCTTGCTGGAAATGGGTTGAAGGTGAAAATATATGCAAAGTGGCTCTCCCATCATGTCATGGAAAGTCGTGGCTACTAAAGAATGGTTTTACTAGACCTGTGCAGAAGCCGCTGAGCAAGTAGGGGCTTGGGTTTCTCCCCATCTGCCTCCTGTCGAGCTGTTTCCTCTAAGACTGCAGGGATGCCTCCCGGCGCTGTGGTGGGACAGAGTTGTCAGTAAACACCAACTGCCTGGCACTCAGTAGGCACTCCCGGGTTGGTTTTCTCTTCCACCTGGACTGTTTATGCATAACATGGGTGGTGGTTTTTTTAAACAAAAATATCCTTAATACTCTTATCATTGGATGAAATGTTTCATTTCTGTGGGGTTTTTTAGTGGCAACAAAGCAAGATACGCACTTAGAAAGAGGATCATTCCCTTAACCCTTATTGGAAGCCCGTGTCCTGGCAGGCTTTTCAGTCGGATAAATACAGGGTGTGATTTCAACTGCCTTTTATTACCTGGATCGTCTTTCTGAGGCCGTTTGCTTCTCTGCAAAAGGAGGGAAGTAAATCAGAGTACCAATGCCAAAGTTTGGTTTTAAGGATGAAATCACGTCCAGCGCGGGGCCCGCACACATGTAATAAATAAATGCATTTATCGTCTTTCACCGTCAGCACCAGGCTTTGGTGAGAAGCACAATCTTTGTCCATGATGTAAAGAAGTTACTATAAAGTCACTTGTCTTGAACCAACTCTGCCAGGCACCTAAAGAGGTGGTTTATAGATATTTTTAAAAAATTAGATTTGAGCCGAAACTGGTTTGGCTCAGTGGATAGAGCGTCGACCTGCGGACTGAAGGGTCCCAGGTTCGATTCCGGTCAAGGGCATGTACCTTGGTTGCGGGCACATCCCTAGTAGGGGGTGTGCAAGAGGCAGCTGATCAATGTTTCTAACTCTCTATCCCTCTCTCTTCCTCTCTGTAAAAAATAAATAAATGTATTTTTTAAAAATTAGATTTGATTTTTTCCCCATCATCATTAATCCCCCCTCTACCTTTTCTACCTCCCTCCACTTCTCTCTCCTCCCTTCCTCCTGTTGTCTGTTCATGAGTTCTTTCTCTTTTTTTACTACTGTCCCCTCCCCCCAATACATATCCTTTTATTCACAACAGTCCTGCAAGGAATGTCGTCTCCCCCCCTTCCCCCATTTCATAGCTATGCAGGCCGGTTCTGGGTTCTGATGGATCAGACCAACTCTAGGCCTGAGGCTTCCCCCCTGGGGCACGCCCCTCCCTCTGCAGGATTGAGCTTTGCAGAGCAGGCTGAACTCAGCTCAGCACCCGCTTCCTCATTTGACTGGTCACTGCTGTCCATTGCCACCAACTCCGCTCAAGGATGTGGGTACTGGGCTGCCACCAACCGATGCCTGCATTCCTGGTCTCCCTTGCAGAGTCCCCCCCAAGATAGATTCCCCACAGTTTAAACAATCCTTTACCTGGTCAGTGCTTTACAGAGGACGTGCACAGAGTCCTCTGACCCTCACGAAAGCCTGGCAGAGCAAGGTAGCATGAGGTTATCAGTCCATCACACAGGTGAGGAGTTTGAGACCCCGGCCACACGAGTCACTAACCAAGCAAGGGTTTTATCTGAGGGATCCTGCCTCCAAGGCCAGTGCTTTATCCAAGTCATCGTACTCGTGCCCCCTCCGTCAGCCCCAGGAATAACAGGCTCTCTCTATTGGGTGTTGGGTTTCAGGTGTGTGTGTGAAGCGCTGGAGAGAGAAGCATTTGGGGGTGGGAAACCTGTGATTACTGGCTATAACCACAGGAGGGTGCTGCTGCCTAAAGAAAGCTTTATGCACGAGCCCTAAGGGCTCAAGGTGCCAGGCCAGGGCTGAGATGGCTTTCCCAGAGACCAGAGGTCTGGCATCTGCCCTAAGACTAAGCTACCCCCCTTTTTTCCCTCCATCCTCCACAGCTGCTCCTGGGCGTAGGGCTAGTCCCTCACTCTGGCTTGGGATGGTCACAGATCTGGCTCAGACCCTAACTTTGCCTTTGTCACCTCTGGCAAATCACTGGCTTCTCTGTTTCCCCAACTGCTACCCACTCCAGGTAGCCCAGCCCTCCCACCGACTCAGGGCTGGTGTGAGGCCAGACGGTCGGGGCTCTGTTAACGTGACCCGAGTCCTGCTGATTCTTGCCGGGCCACGTCCCGATCTCATGCACCAAGCTTGCAAACAGCCAAAACCACCAGGTCTTTTCAGCACGGATAGCTGCCTCGCCTCAGCTCCCAGCTCCACGGGCTCCAGGCGGCCTTTGTAAGTACATCTGCCCTCTCGTTGTCCTCACCTGGAAAACAGGAACAACAACAGTCCTACTTCGAAGGGAGCATTGGAAGCACTAGGCACAGGGCTGAGTGCAGAGTGAGCCAAACAAAGGCGTTGCTTTTATTATTATTAATTATCATTAGCACCTCCCACTTCCCCCTGCTATGTTGGGAACATTAAAATTGTTATTAGTGTGGTCGTTTCGTGTATCCTGAAAACTGGGGTACTGTTAGGCATGAAAGCGGATGAGCTACAGTAAATCATGACCACGTGTGGTATGCGCCCTCCAAGCGGCCCCACCTTCTGGGGTTCTCACCCTCCTGTCCGCGGGATGGGGCTGCCTGGAAGCGGCGTTGTGCATGGGATGGAGCTAGCCACGCAGGACCCGGTGAGAGGGCAGGGCGGGGTGAGGGGGCAGGGCGGGGTGAGAGGGCAAGGTGGGGCGGGTCCAGCTCCAGGTAACTGGACCCTAGGCCTAACCCAACCAATCAGGTCAGCCAAGGTAGCGGCACCACCCTCCCTATAAAACCCATTGATATGTTAAGTTCTTCCTCTTTCTCGCCCATGCCCTCGTTGGTGTGGGTGAGACTGGGCTCGGACTAGTCCGAAATAAATACAGGCTTTCTGCAATTGCATTGGATTCGGCTCCCTGGTAGTCTTTGGGGTTTATGACACTTGGGCATTACATATGGGGCCTTGTCCGTGATCTCCAAGACTGAGGGACTCTGAATCCGGAGAGCCTGTCTGGCCGCGGTAAAAGTGTGTGAAGGGATCCCTGTGGGAAGTGCCCGAGAGGTCTAGCGGACGCGCTATTGAAGGCCACGGGCCGGAGAGATCAAAAGACGTTTTGATCCTCCTTTAGGAGGGACACAGAATTCCCTCTCAGGACGAGGTAGTCGGCGTGAGGCCGTCGTTTGGTTTTAGGCGCCGCTTCCACAGAGTTGGAAGGCTGTTCTTGGGGGCCCCCCCGTCTGTTCCTGTGTTCTTTGTTTGTTTGTTTGTTTGTATTTTTGTATAGGGAAAGGTTTCAGTTTGCTCTTGTTTGTAAATTTGCTATAAAAACTCAACTGAATGTATTGAATTGTTATAATACTGAAAATGTTGATGTGGGGAGTTCTTCTCCTGGGGGCTGTTGTAATTTTATGTGTTATTTTATGGATTCACTGTATGGATGTTATGGGACAAACTCAGATTACTCCTTTAAGCACTGTGATTAATCATTTTCAGGAAGTAGAGGCAAGAGCTAATGATTTTAGTATGGAGGTCTGGAAGGACAAATGGCAGACTTGTTGTTCAAGTGAGTGGCCAGCTTTCAATGTCGGATGGCCACCAGAGGGAACATTCGATCTCCCTACCATTCGCCGGGTTCGGAGTGTCGTCTCTCATCCCAAGACAGGTTACCCCGATCAGCTCCCATACATTATAATGTGGCAGGACCTTGTGGAGAACCCACCCTTTTGGCTTAAACACTCTGTGGCTCCGCCCCCCTCGGAGCCAAAACCTATTTTTGCCTTACAGGGAACGGAGAGGACAGAGGAGAAGAAAATCACCCTGCCATCAGCTCCCCCCTACTCTGTCTTGCAGGGGGGAACTGAAGAAGAATTAATTTTTCCTCCCCCGTATCAGTTCCCTAGGGTTCCGGAGGAGGAAACTGACCCTCCCCCATTGAGGGAAGCAGATGCCACAAGGAGAGCGGGAAGCCCGCCGCATACCAGACAAAGAGCCCAGAGGGAACAATCCACCTTCATCGCAGACTCCACTGTTAAGACTTTACCCCTTCGAGCCACTGGTCCCCCAGATGAGAGGGGCGATCAGCCCCATCACTACTGGCCTTTCGCCACTAGCGACCTTTATAATTGGAAAACTCAAAATCCTGAGTTTTCTAAGAAGCCAGCGGGACTTATTAATCTGATGGATTCTATCATTTTTACCCATCAGCCAACCTGGGACGACTGCCAGCAGCTCTTGCAGGTCCTGTTCACCACCGAGGAGAGGGAGAGAATCCTTAATGAGGCCCGGAAGCTGGTTCCAGGCGTGGATGGGAATCCTACCACCAACCAAGCTCAGATAGAAACCTTTTTCCCTCTGACTAGGCCTGAATGGGATTTCAACACAGCAGAAGGTAAGGAGAGGCTCCGGGTCTACCGCCAGGCTCTGATGGGGGGTCTCCGGGCGGCTGCCAGAAAGCCGACTAATCTGGCTAAGGTAGGCAGCGTACAGCAGGAGAAGGATGAATCTCCAGCAGCCTTTTTAGAGCGGATCATGGAGGCATTCCGCACCTATACCCCCATGAATCCAGAGGCTCCTGAGAGTAAGGCAGCTGTTATTGTAGCCTTTGTAAACCAGTCTGCTGCAGATATTAGGAGAAAATTGCAAAGAATAGATAGACTGGGAGAGAAGAGTCTGCAGGACTTGTTGGTGGTGGCTGAAAAGGTGTACAATAACCGGGAGCCCCCTGAAGATAAACAGGCTCGCAGGCAGACCCGAGACCTGGCTAGGATCCTGTGGGCCGCCACTATGGACTCCCCTGAGAAACGGGACCTCCGCCTCCGACAGCTTGCAAACGATCGAAAGAAGGGTAAGGAGACCTCCGGGGAAGGGAAGTGGAAACTGCAGAAGGACCAATGTGCATACTGCAAGAAGATAGGGCATTGGGCTCAAGAATGTCCTAAGAGAGGCAGTGGGAAGGGGAGCAAGAGAGACCAAGTAAAGGTCTTGGGGCTTGATGAACTAAGTGATTAGGGGAGTCAGGGTTCGGACCCCCTCCCCGAGCCCAGGGTAACTCTTAGAGTGGAGGGGACCCCTGTGGACTTCCTTGTTGACACCGGAGCGCAGCATTCGGTCCTCTGCACTCCACAAGGAAAACTAACTAGCAAAAAGTCCTGGGTGCAAGGGGCAACTGGTATGAACCAGTATTCATGGACTACCCGAAGAACAGTGGATTTAGGGATGGGCCGGGTAACCCACTCCTTCATGGTAATACCGGAATGCCCCTACCCACTGTTAGGACGGGACTTACTGACCAAGATTGGAGCTCAGATAACTTTCAGACAAGGGGGGCCTCAGGTCACCGATGGCGAGGGCCACCCCATCCACGTTCTGACTCTGAGGCTAGAGGATGAGTACCGCCTCCACCAGGAGGCACTCCCAAGGGGGGATAACATGGATAGATGGCTACGAGAATTCCCCACAGCCTGGGCAGAGACAGGAGGGGTAGGACTAGCTGCTCACAGGACCCCAGTCCTAGTGGAGCTAAAGCCAGGAGAAGGTCTGGTAAGGATCAAACAGTACCCCATGTCTCAGGAGGCCCGGGAGGGAATTCAGCTACACATCCAGAGACTGCGGAGTCTAGGGGTGCTGGTTCCCTGCCAATCTGCCTGGAACACCCCCCTACTGCCGGTCAAGAAGCCTCACACAAATGATTACCGACCGGTGCAAGACCTCCGGGAAGTAAATAAAAGAGTCATGGACATACACGCAACTGTCCCCAATCCGTACACTCTCTTGAGCTCCCTGGTGCCCACCAGAATCTGGTATACTGTATTAGATTTAAAGGACGCCTTCTTCAGTCTGCCGTTAGCACCCAGAAGCCAACCCTTGTTTGCCTTCGAGTGGCATGATCCAGAGGAGGGCTACAGTGGACAACTCACCTGGACACGACTGCCTCAGGGGTTCAAGAATTCGCCCACCATCTTTAATGAGGCACTACACGAAGACCTGGGTGAGTATAGAAGGGAGCACCCTGGCCTCACCCTCCTACAGTACGTAGATGACATCCTGATTGCTGCCGACACGGCCAAGGACTGTGAAGAAGAATTAGAGCGAATCAAAAGCCACCCCACAAACAAGGAAGTCAGGGGCTGGTGGTATGCTCCAGACGGGAAGCTCCTGCTACCAGACCAGCTTGGGATCCCGATGTTGAAACACATACACCAATCGACGCACCTAGGGTCCCGGAAACTAAAGGATTTGGTCCGGCATGCTAAGATCAAAATTCACCAGCTGGACGCCAGAATAGATCAAATTGTATCAGCCTGTAAAACTTGCCAGCTTACAAATGCAAGGGCCGGGTCAAGTGGAAAAGGAACCCGGCTCAGAGGAACAAAGCCCGGGGTGCACTGGGAGATTGACTTCACTGAGGTAAGGCCGGGAAAGTATGGCTATAAATATCTTCTAGTTTTTATAGATACCTTTTCTGGATGGGTAGAAGCATACCCAACTAAGCATGAAACAGCCCAGATGGTTGCTAAGAAGCTACTGGAGGACATTCTACCCAGGTACGGTTTCCCAGCTGTGATAGGATCGGACAATGGCCCGGCTTTCATCTCACAGGTAACACAGGCAGTAGCCAAGGCCATAGGGGCAAATTGGAAATTACATTGTGCGTATAGGCCCCAAAGCTCAGGACAGGTAGAAAGAATAAATAGAACATTAAAAGAGACCCTTTCTAAATTAACCATAGAGACTGGCGGGGACTGGGTGGCTCTCCTTCCCTATGCTCTTTACCGGGTGAGGAACTCACCCTATACCCTAGGCTTCACTCCCTATGAAATTATGTTTGGTAGGCCCCCGCCTATCATTCCCAATCTTAAGGCAGAACTGCTAACTGAATTTGAAAACCAAGAAATATCTTTTTCTTTAAGAAGGCTCCAGAGGGCGCATGAGGACATTTGGCCACGCCTACAGGCCATCTACGAGGCTGGCCCGATCCCAACGCCCCACCAGTACCGGCCGGGAGACTGGGTCTTTGTCAAAAGACACCGCTGGGAGACGCTTGAACCACGTTGGAAAGGACCATACATCGTAGTGCTGACAACGCCCACCGCCCTCAAAGTGGACGGCATTGCGACCTGGGTCCACCACACCCATGTTCGGCCAGCTGACTCTTCTGCGATCCGGGAAGACTTCGCCAACGGATGGAGCATCGACCGAGACCGAGACAACCCCCTCAAGCTCAAGTTACGGCGTACTCAATCTGCCTGATGAAATTTTGTTTGCAGCCAGCTGCAGGAGTCCCCACCCCCCATACACTGGTTCGAGAGGGGGAGGAGGGAGGACTCACTTCTGCCCTGGACACTCCTGACCCCACTGTGTCGTCTTGTGTCTCCACTGGACACATCTCGTGGACTCCCCCAAAATGTCAGATCAGGGCACCGGGAAGGAGGAACTTTATGCACCCTTCAGAAGTGCATACGGTCCCATGATTGGGCCTGTTAATTCTCAAGACAAGGGGGGAATGAGAGGGCAGGGCGGGGTGAGGGGGCAGGGCGGGGTGAGAGGGCAAGGTGGGGCGGGTCCAGCTCCAGGTAACTGGACCCTAGGCCTAACCCAACCAATCAGGTCAGCCAAGGTAGCGGCACCACCCTCCCTATAAAACCCATTGATATGTTAAGTTCTTCCTCTTTCTCGCCCATGCCCTCGTTGGTGTAGGTGAGACTGGGCTCGGACTAGTCCGAAATAAATACAGGCTTTCTGCAATTGCATCGGATTCGGCTCCCTGGTAGTCTTTGGGGTTTATGACACTTGGGCATTACACCGGTCTCTCCAGCGTGCTCTCTAGGGTAAGGTGACCAGATGTCCCGCTTTTGGCGGGACAGTCCCGATTTTTACCAATTTATCCTGCATCCCGCGGGATGTTTTTAAAACACCAAGGAACGCGGGACAAATTGGCAAAAATCAGGACTGTCGCTTTTCCTCACAGGGCTGCGGCGGTGCTGGTTGTGCTGCTGCTCTCTCTGAAGTATCCAGGTCCATCCTCGTCGCTGCGGTGACACCCACACCCGCCACCGCCGTGACTGAGCAGATGACCCTTCGTGGCACCCTCAAGGGCCACAATGGATGGGTGACCCAGATCGCTACCACTCCCCAGTTCCCGGACATGGTACTGTCCGCCTCTCAAGACAAGACCATCATCATGTGGAAGCTGACCAGGGATGAGACCAACTCCGGCATCCCACAGCGTGCTCTTCGGGGTCACTCCCATTTCGTTAGTGACGTGGCCATCTCCTCAGATGGCCAGTTTGCCCTCTCTGGCTCCTGGGACGGAACCCTTTGCCTCTGGGATCTCACAACGGGCACCACCATGTGCCGATTCGTGGGCCATACCAAGGATGTGCTGAGTGTGGCCTTCTCCTCTGGCTCCCGAGACAAAACCATCAAGTTATGGAATCCTCTGGGTGTATGCAAATATACTATCCAGGATGAGAGCCACTCAGAGTGGGTGTCTTGTGTCCATTTCTCGCCCATCATCGTGTCTTGTGGCTGGGACAAGCTGGTCAAGGTATGGAACGTGGCAAACTGCAAGCTGAAGACCAATCAGTCACATGGGCCACACAGGATACCTGAACACTGTGACTGTCTCTCCAGATGGATCCCTCTGCGCTTCTGGAGGCAAGGGTGGCCAGGCCATGCTGTGGGACCTCAACGAAGGCAAGCATCTGTATACACCTGATGGTGGGGACATCATCAACGTCCTTTGTTTCAGCCCCAATTGCTGCTGGCTCTGTGCTGCCACTGGCTCTGTGCTGCCACTGGCTCTGTGCTGCCACTGGCCCCAGCATCCAGATCTGGGACTTGAAAGGCAAGATCGTTGTAGATGAATTGAAGCAAGAGGTTACCAGTACCAGCAGCAAGGCAGAGCACCCCAGTGTACCTCTCTGGCCTGGTGGCCAAACTCTCTTTGCTGGCTACACAGACAACCTGGTGTGAGTGTGGCAGGTGACCATCGGCACCCGCTAGAAGTATATGGCAGAGCTTTGGTAATAAAATGGTTTTCTGGCTTGTAAAAAAAAAAAAATTGGTACTGTCCCACCAAAAGCGGGATGTCTGGTCACCTTGCTCTAGGATCACTCCATCCCTTTCCGGGACGCAGGGGGGCGAGGGCCACGAAGGAGGAGCCGAGGCCGCCTGCCTTTAGCCGGGATCCACTGGCCAGTCCCACTGGCCTCTGGGGAGCAGAGATCTCCCCACGCCCGCTGCAGGGGCCGCCAGTCCGGCTCCCCGCCTCAGGAGACACCCCCCCCCCCCCCCCGCCACCCCCAACCAGAACCACCCGCTCAGCTGCTCCGGACTCCTGCCCCACAGAAGCCGGGTGAAGCACTTAGAGGTCATTGTGGTTTGAAGCCGCTGTGTTGGGGTAATTCGTGATGGATCAGGAGATAACAAATACATAGCACACAACCTCGGGTGACCCAGGCCGGGCCCGGGCCGATCCGAAGGCCCGTTTCCCATCTCTTCTCCGAGGCATAGGCTGCCCTGCCCGCTGCTGACCTGACCCACCCACCTCCCGCCTGGCGTGTCCCAAGCAGGGAGAGACTGGGAATGACCGCCAGTGGCGTTGTGACTGTGGGTCTTGCTCTGAGCTGGGTGCCACCTTGTTTACCTCCCTCAAACCCAGGTGGGGGGGAGGGTACAGCAGTCACTCAGTCTAACTTCAATGGGAGCAAAGAGGCCCCAGGGCACTGGCAGGAAGTGGCAGGCAACAAGGTTTGACCCCAGAGCCCCCTAGGCCTCTCCTGAGAGCCATACCCGGTGCCCCCTGGCCAGGCCCTGCCCCAGGGCCCTGCGGGGAATTCCAGTGGGCCTCCTGTTTACGGGGGAGGGGGCCGAGGCCCAGGTGAGGGGAGTGACCTGCTCGGGGCCACCAGCTGGTGGGGGACAGAGGCCGGACTGGTCCCATGTGAATGGGGTTATCTCCTGCTCTGGAATGCCAGCTCCCTGGGTGCCCAGGTCTGTACAGCTGGACCTTCCCAGGGCTCAGCCACGACAGGGTGGGGTTGGAATGCCGGTCTCTATAAATTGCAAAAAGCCGAGACACGCACAGGACACGTTACATATCGCGAGGACAGCTGTGCTCCCTCGGATTCCGTGGCCCAGGGGGCCCTCGCGCCGGCCACTCTCCTGCTTGGCACCAGCTGGGCGGCTCTAGCCCAGCATGAGATGAGAAAGGAAACATATTTTTAGAGGCAATTTTTTCTTCCAGGAAAATGATTCCAAATGTCCAATTGATTCCCAGGAATAAGGGAACGGGTTATGTTAGTAGAATGGCTTCTGCTAATAGCAGTGCCCTCTGCCTTTCTCTCTTCCTCTTCCTCCGTCCCCCTCTCTCCCTCTCCCTCCCTTTCCCCCCCTCTCTCTCTCCCCCCCTCTCCCTTCCTCCCCATCCTGCCTTCCTTTCCCCTCCTCCTCCACATCCCCGCTGCCCCCGCCCCCCCCCCCCACACACACATAGGGAAGAGGCGGGAGAGAACACCCGCTCCTGAGTCAGGGTTCCCCCCACCCCCACACAGCCATTCCCTAGCCCTGGGACCCAGAGAGGGCTTGAATGAGGGCGTGGTAGTGGGGCAGGTCCTCCCCTGACTTTTCCCAAATCATAGGGCGATTGGTCTGGACTCTAGGAGAAGGGGGTGGTTTGGGGAGAGCCCCCAGGGCAGGGCGGAGCAGCCCGTGTTCTGCCACGTGCTGTGTGACCTTGGCACAGTCTCTTCCCCTTCGGGGCCTCAGTGAACTCCCCTGTGAAATGGGCAGACGGAGCAGGTGGAGTGTCCACATATCGGGCCTGGGAGGCCTCCTCCCAGGGGAGACACCGCCTCAGTGTGACCCTTCCGAGCACCCGCTCTCCAAGGCCTGCCCGCCACGGCTCAGGGAAGGTGTCACCACACCCCGAGGCTTGCTGGATTCTCTCTGCAACATCCCAGCCCTCAGAGCGGTGTTAGCCCCACCCTGCCCAGTCCACCGCTCCTTCCTCCCTACCCTGCACACCCCCGGAGGACTCTGCCGGTCTAATGTAACGGTCTAACGGGCTGGCCTGTGGGCCTCCATTTAGAGGCAAATTACAGTGAAATGGATGAAGCTTGAGCTTCAGGGCCCCTCGCCTGCAGAGCGCCCCCATCCAAGGCCTTGTTCCTCATTGGGATCCCCTCAGATTGTACAACTTCAGGGCCCTACAGAGTGGGGACCCACTCCTGACCTCATCCATACTCAGCTGGAGGTGCCAGAGTGCCTCCCCGCCCCCAGCTGGCCGGCGCCTGAGCCAGAGCCGACCCGGGCGAAACCTCAGCCTCTGCAGCCTCTGCAGCCTCTGCAGCCTCTGCTCTCCTCCGTCGAGGCCAGCCCAGCCGTGCTCTGTGCCCACAGGTCCCTCAGCGCAAACACAGCCCGCTCCCTCCGGTCTCACCCACATCTGCCCGGGGGCCTCAGGGATCGCTCTGGGCTCCAGCTCACAAACCTAAGAGGCCGGGGCTCCAATTCTGACCCTGTGCCTGGCAGCTCCGTGCCCAGGGGACACCGCCCAGTCTCACTGACCCGCTAGCACACCGCTGGGGGCCTGGCCGTGAGACCCTCGCCGTCGGGATGGGCAGGGGGCTCCCACTGACGGGGGCCGCACCGATGGAGGCCAAGCCCAGCGCCCTGCAGGCCCTGGGGAGGCTCCCGGCAGCCCGTCGGCTCAGCCCTACGTGTTGGGGCGGCCCGTTTGCCAGAATCCTGTTTCGGTTCCTGATTTTGGGGTCACTGACCTCAGGGCAGCCTTCACCCCGACTTTCTCAGAAGCACACCCGGCTCCGGTCTCCTTCCTGAGTCTTGAGCAAGGCTGGACGGTGTGATGGAGAAGGTGGGTGGGAGCGAGCAGGGGGAGGTGGGGCGCCCTGGGGAGACGGGGGCTTGTTGCCAGTGAGGACCCCCCAGTTCCCTGCTGCGAGGCTATGTGACCTGGGGCACATCACCCAGCCCCCCAGAACCCAGCGGATGGACTGCACAGCAGGAGGAAGTGATGCGCAGACGTGAATGCCTCACCGCGGGCCAGGCTCTGCCCGATCCTCAAGGCAGCAGCCCCGGGAGGCGAGCGCGCTTGCTGTTCCCATGTCGCAGGATGAAGATGAACCGGCGCGGTGCTGGCAGGTGCCAGACAGCGCCTGGCGGAGGGGAAGCCCTCGGTCAACCCTGGCTCTCATCGTCACCCGAGTTCAACCAGCCAGTCTGTTTGACCGAACCGCTGGGGGCAGGCAGTAACGATGAGCTGCCTTGTTAGAGCCAGGAGGCCCCACGGGAAGGGGGGTCGGGGGGGGGGGGGTCTGATAGGATGGGGGAGGAGGGGAGGCATGGCTGCCAGGTGTGCTGTCCTGTTATCTGGGTCCCAGGCTCATGTGGGCTTGCCTGTGGGTTGGCTGTGTCCATGTGACAGTGTGACCCCTACACCAAGCCCAACTCACTCACCAAATGCTTCGGGACACGGTGTCAGTGTAACTGCCGCGTTTGGTCAGGATCTCGCTCTCACTCACCAGCTGTGAGCTTGGGTACCTCTTCTAAAACACCTTCTAAAGTGCCTGGTTTGCCACTTCCTTTTCTTTCTTTCTTTTTTTTTTTTTAAAATATATTTTATTGATTTTGTACAGAGAGGAAGGGAGAGAGATAGAGAGTTAGAAACATCGATGAGCGAGAGTCATCGATCAGCTGCCTCTTGCACACCCCCTACTGGGGATATGTCTGCAACCAAGGTACATGCCCTTGACTGGAATCGAACCCGGGACCTTTCAGTCCCCAAGCTGACGCTCTATCCATTGAGCCAAACCAGTTTCGGCTGGTTTGCCACTTTCACACCGGGGGCAGCTCAGTGTGCACCTCGCAGAGCCCTGCCGCCCCATCAGCTCAGCGGAGTCTGTGGTCACTGCCCACGGGGACACTGAGGCGCTCCCACTCCGGGGGGACAGCGGAGACTAAAAGCAGCTGCGTGGGGAGCGCACGGACGGGGCTTGTCTGGGGCGCTGGGCCGGGTGGGACCAGCCCTGCCTGATGGGAGTCAGGACAGCCCCCCAGAGGCCCCAAGTGGTCCAGGGGCGGGGGGAATGCCTGGAAGGGGGCATGCCTGCATGATGGTGAAGGCGAAGGGAGACCTGAGATGCTGGCGTGGGGCCTGATGCACAGGTAACCATGGGGGAGGGGAGGTGTGACTGCACCTTGTGCTGGAGAACAGGTGGGTGTGTACACATGTGAACCCCACGGAGCGCTGGAGCAGGGGTTGAGAGGCAGAATGAGACTCAGGGCCCAGACCTGCTTTGCTTCGGGCTGTGACCAGTATCTTTGAGGACCAGCAGGTGGCGCTCCTGCCCAGCCCAAAGCGTCCACAGCCCGCTCTCCCAGGATGTCAGGGGAGGCTCAGGACAGGCAGGGACCTGGGAAGATGGACAATGCTCACCGCTCCCCTCGGCCAGGAGCCGGCCCTGACGGCCTCTCTGAGCCCGGCACAGCTCCCAGGACAGTGGCCACTGCCTCAGAGTAGCCATTGCTGTGTGACCAGCTCCAACTATCCCCAAGGCCTTCCTGACACCGATCTGACACGTGGCTAACACTGCCCTTTGGGGCCACCTCAGAGGCAGCCTGTTCCCGGGCCTAAGCAGCCCCTCTGGGGGTGACTATTCCCTCACCCAGGCCCCTTCCTTTACCAGCATCATCCAGCCACCGGCATTGAACCCCAGGACAATGGCGGGAAGGGCTCCCTTAAACCTCACCCCCTGGCTCCTGGCCCGGGTCTGGCACACACGGGCAGACACTCAGTTGAAATCTGGAGAGTGGATGAATGGATCCCTTGTGGTCATTAGTCTCACGTTACAGCTGGGAAGCGGAGGCTCAGAGAGCCAAAGCTACTCGCCCGCTGTCACACAGCGCATAGCTGGCCGAGCTGGGGTTCGAACCCAGGCCTTTGCCCAACCCCGAGTCAGAGCGCCTCAGCTCCCAGCTGTGCTGTCTCACCCAGATCCCCACCCGCTGGACCTCTCTCGGCCCAGCTCCCCCAGGGGCCCCGGGTCAGAATTCCTGAAGGTTCCTGGGGATGGGAGCTCCAGAGGCCGAGACCTCGGAATTCCTAGGGGATTTTCAATCTGAGCGGGGAGGGTTCCCGCCCTTCCTCTCCAGGATCTCCCTGCCAAAGGGTAGCTGGCTTGGCCGACACGGCCTTTAGGGACGTGGCTCTCAGTGCTGCTCAGGAAACACCCCCGAACCCAGCTCCGTTTGTCTCCCGGTCCTCCTCCACGGGCCCCCTGGTACCCCTATATCTTGGCTGGCGCCCCGGAGTCTGTTCCTCCGGGCCCACCCCGGCACACTCCGCTTCTGGCTCCACTCGTCCTGGTTTCAGTTCCCTTTTCCTCCGGGGAATTGTTCCAGATTCAGCTCAAGCCAGTTCCTCCTTCCTTTGGGCCTCGCACACAGGAGCCGAGGGCAGAGACCTCCAGCCTCAGATTCCCATCAAGGAGGGGGAGATACCCACTCCCCCTATTTCATGGGGTTGCTGAAAGAATTAATAACCCACCTAAGGCCTTGGGGGCCACACCTGGTTGGAGCTTAAAAAATCCTGCCTTCTCCTCCCAGGACAGCTGGGTGGGGGGAGCTCAGGTGAATGGGAAACACACTCATTGATTCAAGAAATGTGTGTTGAGCACCCACTATGTGCCAGTCCCTGAGCTGGTATTGGGGACACAGAGCAAACAAAGTGACCCCAACCCCTGCCCTCCTGGGGTTAGGTACCAGTGGGTGGTGGGAGACTCCAGCGAGTAAGTCAAGCGCATAGTAGGCCAGGGAAGCAGGGGATAAGGCCTAGAGACAAGTGCGCGATGACCACGCCACCCAGGGACATATTCTCACAGCACCTGCCCTGGAGGGTGGGGTCTCCCTTCTACCCCAGGAACCTGAGGCTCAGGGGGAGAGGGTGGGGGTCAGTGTGTGCGTGGGGAGCTTCCCGAGGTCTGCCCAGCTCTCCCTCTGCAGCCCCAGGGAGGCCGGGAAGTCCTCCCCGCGGTGCAAAGGGGAGAGGAGGCCCAGAGAGGGTTGCCCACACCTGAGGTCACCCAGCGCACCCGCCTCTTGGAGACACCACTGTCCGGGCCTGGGTGGGCGGCTCTGGGGTGGCGGTTGTCCCGGAGGAGCTGTGCGAAGGAAGCCCTTAGGGGAGGATGGTGATGATCACGCCGGTGCCACCCATCCGCTCAGACCCTCTAAGGAGGCAGCCCGCCGTTCCCCGCCCCGCATCCCCACGGGGCGTCCTTCCCTTCGCGCCCCGCCGCCCGGGGAGGCGCCTTCCGAGGGACCCCGTCCTCAGGCCGAGCTCAGCGAGGCGGGTCCGCGTCCCAGGCCCGGGCGCCGGAGCCGGGGCGGCGGGGCGGCCTGTGCGGGGCGCGGGGACCCTGCGCGGGCCCTGGGCTCCGGGCGGGGGGCGGGGGCCGGGGCTGGGGGCGGGGACCCCGGGCTGGGGGCGCTCGCCCCGCCCCGCCTCCTCGCGCCCCGCCCGCGCTGGGGGCGGCCCGGCGGCGGCGCGCGCTTCCTGCGGGCGGGCGGCGGGCGCGGCGGCCGTGGGCGCGGAGCCGCGAGGCGGAGCCGGGCCGCCGAGCCGGGAGCCCCGAGCGAGAGCCGCGCGGTGGGTCCAGCCGCCGGGCCGCGCCGCCGCCGAGCAGCCGCCCCGCCGCCGCGGGAACAAAGGCGCCGCCGCCGCCGCCGCCGCCATGGAGCCGGGGCCGCCGCGCCGCGCCCGGGCCGCCCGCGGGGCAGGCGCTGGGGCCGGGCCCGGGGCCCGCGGGCTGCTGCCGCCGCTGCTGCTGCTGCTGCTTGCCGGGCGCGCCGCGGGGGTGAGTGCCGCGCGCCGCTCGGACCCGGGACCCCTCCCCCATCGCCCCCCCCCCGGATCGCCCCCCGCGGTGCATCGGGATGGGGGGGAGGCCACCCCGCGCCGGTGGCCGTTTAGGGGGGCTCGTCCCCTTCCTGCGGGACCCTCCGCGGCGGGAGGCCCGCGGGAGCCCGCGCCGCTGCCTCCCCGGCGGCCCGGGGAGCCCCCTCCGGGCGAGCGGGGTGCCCGCCCCGGGCGGGGGGCGCGGGGAGGCCGGGCGGCGGGCCGGGGGCGCGGGCGCGTGGCCGGGGCTGGGTGTGTCTCGGGTCTGGAGTGAACGTGGATTTTGCTCGCTCGTGGGTGTGTCCAGACCGCGGCCACTTTTAGGGCGTGGGGGCTGCTCCCCGCCCCGGGGATGGGGTGCCTTTGGTTCCTGCCCGGGCAGCTTGGATGGGGGTAGGGGGGCCCGGAGAAGGTGACTGTGTGAAGGTGACCTGAGGGGGAGAGGGACACAGGGAGGGTGTGTCCCCCCCTCCGGTGAAGGGTGCTGGGACCTGTGGGGTGCGTGTGGGTGAAAGGGGTGGGCAGTGCCGTCGTGTCCTACCTGTGTGTGTGTGGTGTGAGGGTGACCCGTTGTGCTTGGCGCCTACGGTGCCAGGGCTGGTGGCTGCTGGCGCTGGCGGTGTGTGCTGCAGGGGTGCGTGTGGGGAGACTCCGTGGTGGGCGTGTGCTTGCACCCATGGGAGTGGGTGCCCGTGTGCTTGCAGGTGCTGCTGGGCGGCTGCTCCTGGGCCTGCACACCGGAGGGGCGGTGTGTGCAGGTAGAGGGGAGTGCGGATGTAGGAGGTGACTCCTGGGTGTCCCTTCGGGTGACCAGGCAGCAGCCGTGAGGGGTCAGCTCTGTCCCAGCTCCACAGGGGGAGCGGGAGGAGGAGAGAAGGGGGACCCAGGGCCTCTCCCTCTGAGGAACTCAGGTTCCCGCGTGGGCACATGGCCGCAGCCTGGCTGGGAGCGAGCCGGGGGTTTCTGGGCCCGTTCTCTCCGGTTCCACCAGGAACTCGGCCTGCCCCCCTCCGGCTGACATGGACCTGGGCCCGCGGGCAGGGCACCCACTTACCCCTGCAAGTTCCCCGGAGCCTCCGCCGGCCAGCCCATACACTGCCAGGCGGGCGGGCAGGGCTCAGAGGTTGCTTCTTGGGCAGCCGCTGCTCACCAGCCATGCCCACCTGGGGGCTTGGGGCAGGGGAAGGGGTGCTCAGTGCCAGGGGAAGTACCTGCAGGTGGCTGTATGCTTCAGCCCCAGGCTCCCGGGTGAGGTGTGGAGAGAAGGTCCCCGGGAGGGACTGAAGCCCAGCCCAGCCTAGCAGGAGGGTCCCTTTCTCAGCTACACTTCCGGAAGGCCACACAACCTCCGGCTCAGCCTGGTCACACACGTGTGACCCATCTCCTGGCTCATGATCTGACCTTTGAGCACTCATCTCACCTCTCAGAATCCTACTAGCCTCTCTTTTCCCCTCTGTGAAATGGGGCTAATAATACCCTCCCCGAAGACCAAATGAGAGGACGTGTGTTTTCATACTCGGAAGGAGCTCGGGAAGTGCGCGGTGTGCACCGGAGTGAGGGGGGCTCAGGACAAGATGCTTTGGACGTGGGGGCCCAGCCGGAGTCTGGAGCTGTGGGACCCTGGGCAGGCCCCGTCCCTCGCTGACAACTGCTCCTTGTTCTTAAGCGAAAGCCAAGAATTCGTTCCCCGGGAGGCGGTGGGAGGAATGGGTCTGCGAGGGTGCCAGGTGACAGCCACGGTGTGGTGCGGGCTCAGCGAGGCGGGGATGGGGGGGGAGGCTGGATCTGGGGGTGAAGGAGAGGGGGTGATTCAGACACAGAGCTGGGTGGCAGAGGAAGCAAAACCTTGGGATTCTGGGCCTGGAGGCCCATGTGGCTGGGCTTGACTTGAAGGAGAAGAGGGGCGAGGCTGGGGGTGAGGCTGCAGGTGAGGGGGGGACGGCGAGCCTCTCCCCAGCCTCACGCCTGCCCTGGGGCCCGGCGGTGGAGGAGGGGTGTCATCTCACCTGCCTGGGAGGCAGAGGGTTAATAGGTGGTGCCCAGTGCCAGGGATGCCACCCCAGAGGAGAAGGGTGATGCCTGCGGAGGAGGGGCTGAGTGAGACCCGCAGAGCCCCAGCTGGGACTGTCCCGGCTGGGAGAGGCCTCCGTGGCAGGTCCTCTGAGGAGACATGGAGGTGGGGAGTGGCTGACTCAGAGGGCCAAGATGGCCCCTCGGTCTGCCCACCAGCTTGAAAGGGAGTGCGTGTGTGTGCGTGTGTGTGTGTGTGTGTGTGTGTGTGTGTGTGTGGCTTCCAGAGTGACCTCAGTTAAAGAGCAGATCTCATTCATGCTGCAGATGGTGGTGAGTTGACGTGTGTGTGTGTGTGTGTGTGTGTGTGTGTGTGTCCTGGCATCTGCTTGGGGGAGTCTTCTCTTCTGAGAGACCACGTGACTGCAACTCCCAGGGACATCTGCCTCCGGGGCCACCTCAGCTGCTGTGCTCAAGGCCCCGCCCAGAAAGGCCTGGTGTGCGGGGGTCCTGGGAATGGGAGCCGAGAGGCTCGGGGCTGGCGGGGAATGGAGGGGCGCCTGAGTCGTGCTGGAACGCTCCCCGTGATGGAGTTCACCACTTGGTGGCTGTGTGACCTCGTGCGAGTTCCTTACCCTCTCTGTGCCTTCGCTTCTGTAATACCTCAGTAAAACGGGGAGAATGGGAGAATGAAAGGAGTGCACGTGTAAAGCTGGTAACACAATGTCTGCACGCACCGATTCCTTGTTCTTCGCAAGGTGGCCGTTCTGTGGCTGGGCCTGTGGTAGGGGTGGGGGTGAGGGACCATGAGGATGGGAATTCATTCGGGCCTGGTGGTCTGCTCCTTCCCCACCGACCGTGTCCATCACCCAGGGGCTCCCACCCGTTTCCCCTCAGCGCTCTCTGAACTCGGGCTTCCTCGGGTCCGCTTGTTCTCGCGGTAAGAATGAAAAGTCAGGGACCCCTGTGCCAGCGCCCGACCAGGCACACCACAGGGTCTGCTGCTCTTAGCTCCCGGCTGGCAGGGGCTCTGGGGACAGACACCTGCTGTGCGGTTTTGGGTCAGTGCTTTCAGTCTCAGCCGCCTCGTGTGTGAAACGGGGACAGTCACAGTGCCCGCCGCGCGGAGGTGATGGGAAGGGAGCGCCTGAGTGACGAGCACACCTGCATGCCCTGAGCGCTCTGGAGATGGGCCTTTCCAGGAGGGAGCCGGGGTCAGGGAGGGGAAAGGAGGAGGAGGAGGAAGAGAAGAAGGAGGAGGAAAGGGAAGAGGGGGAAAGGGAGGGGGAGAAAGGAGGAGGGCGCCCTGATCCTTGGCTTTCTTACCTGTCAACTGGGGACAAACACTGGCTTACAGGACTGAGCTGGGGTGACCACAGCCACACGGTGTAGCTGGGATGGAACCTGCCTCCGGCTGCGAACCCAGCTCGGTCCCGGTTCCTCGTGTTGGGGTGTGGTGAGGGCTGAGCCCTGCTGGAGGAGAGACTTTGGCCGCTTGAAAACAAAAGGCTCCTTCCACCCTGGGGTCCGGGCAGCTCTGGCTGGGGCTCTGGACGGTGCCAGAGCAGCGGGGGGGTGGGTGAGGGCACCTGAAGGGTGAAGAAGGGTAAGACAGCTTCCCCCAGAAGCCGGGTCGGGCACAGGCCTGGAGCTGGGGCCTCCCTCCGGAGCTGCGGGGGGAGAGGGACGGGTCCTTCTGGAAGGGGCTGCGGAGCATTCCTGACGGCTGGGGACGGGGCTGGGGTGGGACGTGGGAAGTCTCCATCTCCCCAGCCCGGCCCGGCGGGGGCTGAGGGTTCGATTCGGGAGGCGGCCTCCTGTCCTCTGAGGGCTGAATAAGAGAACCTGCATTTATTTAATCATGATCGCCTTTGGAGGCAGGGGTTATAGAACCCCCGTTTACAGAGGAGGACTCTGAGGCACAGAGTTGACTGCTTCTGGTCACACAGCGGCGAGTGGCAGAGCTGGGCTGAGCCGCGGCTCAGCCAGCTGGTAGACCCGGGCTGCCTCTCCTCCTGATGAGCATGACCTTGGGCAAGTCCCTTCACCTCTGGGGCCTCCGCCCCCCACATCAGGACCGTGTTTCCACTGTTTCCTAAGCGGCTGCTTTCCGCCCGGCTCCGGGCCAGGTGTGCCCCATGTATTTTCTCATTTAGTTCCCACCTTGGTCTTGGAGGTGGGTGATGCTCGGTCACCTGTTTTTTTTGTTTTTTTTAAAAATATATTTTATTGATTTTACACAGAGAGGAATTGAGAGGGATAGAGAGTTAGAAACGTCGATGAGAGAGAAACATCAACCAGCTGCCTCTTGCACAGCCCCCACTGGGGATGTGCCCGCAACCAATGTATTATACATGCTCCTGACCGGAATCGAACCCGGGACCCTTCAGTCCGCAGGCCGACGTTCTATCCACTGAGCCAAACCGGTTTTGGCTCGGTCACCTGTTAAAGGGGCCGCTGTGAGCCTCCCTGAGGGGTGGGCCCAGGAGAGCTCTCTGTGGATTGTGCAGGCTGTCCCCAAAATGGGGGTAGGAGGGGGGGGCTCATGTCTGGGCCATGTGATCATGGCACAGGCGACGGGACTATTTAGAAGGGAGGATGAGAGAGAGGGCTTCGAAATGCGAAATGCCACCATTCCCCCGGGACACGGATGGGGGTGGCTCTGCCTGCCTTCAGTCCCCTCTGGTCCTTCGAACGCTGTGTGGGGCTCACCTTCACCTCCCTGCTGCCCAGCCTTGAGTCCTGGCCCCGCTGCACCTACGGGTCTGTCTGGCCTGAGCGATGGAGGCTCGGAGAGGAGGAGTGACCCGGGGGAAGTTACGCTCTTCGGGAGAAGAGTCGGAATGCTTTCTGGACAGACCCCGGGCTCCCAGGGGCAGCCTCCCCCGCCGCCTTGTTCTTTGCCGAACCCCCAAGGCCAGCTTTGTGTCCCGCCCGGAGTTCGGTGGT